AATAAATTAAAACGGCCCAAAGCTGCAATAGAACGAAGGTGTAGACCAATAGAGGAGCAGGACTTTTCAACTCGAGAAGCCAAATCAAGAAAATAATTCTGTGGCTATTTCATAAGACAAAATTGATGGCTTTTAAGAAGTAACAAAATCTGGTTGCCAATATAGAGTCAATCTTTGGACAAAATACTTCAGAAATGTTACAGGAGTAGTACCCAATGAGGATTGACATTATTCCCTCAGCTTTACAAATCAAGCGAACTAACCATCATTTAATGGTAGTCACTCAAACAGCCCCGGAATCTATGCCCATGGGAATAGAGAAAAAAAAACTTGTTAAATCGAACCTTATTGATTTTGCATGATCGATTTTTCCGATGCCCGAGTTGTGAACGATTGGCGCGTTCTTGGCTTTCAATTTACTTTCCATTTAAGCCTCTTTATCAGATTCATTTTGGTCTTGGTGATTTTCACTTACTTAAATACGTATTTATTATATTCTGATGTTCCACTTATCGAATTTAAAATCGAATATCGATAGCTTTATAAAAACATTAACAAACAAAAACAAGTTTTCAAAAATGACAAATATTTTTTTCTAGCTTGTTTCTCTTCTCATCGATTATTTTTATGAATGGACTTTTTCCGACGTTTTTTTATTTATTCCACACACACAAAATCACAGCAAGCACTTTTGGATTTAAGTTATATATAAAAAAGAGCTTCATATGCAAGTATTTTTTTTATTTTAAAGCAATAAGTAATATTAGTAATATTAGTATTAATAGATATGACTTAACAGGAATGGTAATTATCTGGAAAACTGTAAAAAGTTCTGATTTGCGCATGTGCACAAATGTCATGGAAAACGGATAATGTAGCATTCTTTGAGACAGTGAAAAACAAAGAAACCACCCTCTCTAGGGCAGGAGATCACTTTGTACTTGCAATTCCTTCTGGGGTGATGGCGATTCAATAAGCGTAACTTCGATGTGGCACAAAGCCAAAAGTATGGAGAACCCAGTGAGGATCAAATTCACTTTAACTCGATTTTGTTAATCATTACACCACATCGAAGTTCCCAACAATATACCTATCGCTATTTACTAAGCGTAATTTAGATACGGGACAAGACCGAAAGTATGGGGCACCCAGTGAGAAACGAATTCACTATTGACTCGTAATTGATCTAGCGAGACATTACACCACGTCGAAGTGCCCTTTTCGAACCGCTGCTTAGATGTGGCACAAGGCAGAAAGTGTGGAGCACTCAGTGAGAATCGAACTCACTACTCAGTCGTAATTGATTTAACGATACCGTCTGCATAGGGATAGAAAATGAGTTCAGTAGATATACAAAAATAGAAAAGGATGTAAGACAAGGATGGGTCTTCTCACCGGACATTCTACCTATACAGCGATTCCGACAGAAATTGATGTCAGACGAGGATTCATTATTTGGTGCCGCAACATAAGATATATAAATGATACAGTGAAGAAAAGCCTAGAAAAACTCCTACTGAAGAAAGGATTAAAGATCAACTGCAAGAAGACAGAATGCATGTACAAAATCGGATGAACCCAAAATGCAAAATTACAAATCGCTGATACTAAAATATAAGAAATGCGGAAATTTAAATATCTGGGAAGTGTTTTAACAGAGGACGGAATGTGTGACACTGAAATCCGAAGGCGAACTGAAATAGCAAAGGATGCATCCCAACGGCTAAGTAGAGTATTATGAAACAGAAAAAAACATCGTTAAAAACAAAGAAAAGAGGACTGAACTGAGAATGCTGGACAATCTCCTCAAAGATGAGACTTGAAGCAACAGAAATGTGGTTCTACAGAAAGATGCTGAGGATACTGTGTACGGAACATGTGAGCAACGACGAAATTTTAAAGAAAGTTGAAACTGAAGGGAAATTTATACTTAGCGTCAGGAAGAGACAGTTGAAGTTTCTGGGGAACATAATGAGGAATGACGGCTTGGAAATCCTGACATCTAGTTTAAATATGCCCACACACACACACACACACATACACACACACACACACACACACACAAAAAAAACACATAATTTAAAAGGTACATGAAACAGGCCACATTTTCGTTTTGCGTATATGAAAAGTTTACACATTTTACATGGCCTGTACTGCTGTCCTCATCTTTATTTTAATATTCACCACGTTTCGGCGGTTTTACGCCTCTTCGTCAGGTGATATATATTGGAATTTTCTTATTTTACCTTTTCTGGATATCTCATTAGTAAACCTTTAGTAATTCTCCAAGATTTTGTTCACCTCTGCTGTGGCCAGGTATTGAACTCACAACTCTTTGCACAAGTCACTGGATTACTTCAACCAGCACTTTTATCCACTGGGCCACGTGTCCTTGAGGAAAGAGGAAATTTCCAGGACTTATAAAAAAATTTATAGAAATTTTACTTCAGCTAGATTCCAAAAAGAAATGGCTTGTCTACATTTAACAATTTGAAACACTAACAGATTAAGTCGAACCCTGGTTTTTGCTGCTAAAGAGATATTGATGGGTGGAATACAATAACTAGAATTACATTGACTATAAGTGTAATGTGATGAAATAAAAGGTAAAACTATTCGCATCATTTAATGGAACCGTTTAGAAAGAAAATAGCATTTTTTAAATTTATTTTTTCTTCTGTCCGAGTGATTTTCCTAAGTTATATATTCAACTCAAGTCGCAGAAAAATGTTGGTGCTGAAGGACCATGAAGGACAAAGTGTTTTGTCATAATCAATATTAAAAGGAGTTGACAGGCGTAAATCACACACGAGGCATGCGTACAGTTCTAAATGAAACGCTACCTGTACATTCACTCACATAATGATACAACGCACAGTAAAATTGAAATCGAACTATTATCACATCGAGAATTTAGCGATCATGGCTCTCCACAAATTTCTGTCTTTTGTCGGTCTCAATAAATTTTCTCTTTACGACATCTCCTTCAAACCCTGGTCCATCATCCATTCATTGAAGCTCACAGGGTAGGTTTTGCGTTGTTTTAACCTGTTTTCTTGCCTTCGATATCTCCGATGAGTGTTAAATTTTCCAAGCCCACTTTCCTCATTATGTGTCCTAGAAATATCAACCGTCTCTTCCCAGTTTTAATTTGTCTTTTTTGTTTCCATTTTCTCTATAACTTCATCGTTGCTCATGCTTTTGGTTAATGGTATTCTAATATCCTTCTGTAGAACTATATTTCTGTTGCCTCAAGATTTTTCTTATTCTAATTCTTTCAAAGTAAAGAAAACAAGACTTGGCGTGAAGTAGTAACAATGTTACTATTGCATTCTGCTGACAAACATTTGGATTTTCGATGCCTAATATGTTCAAGCATTAAGCATACAATATTAGCTCTCCGGATATGGATTTTTCGTTCATGTTTGTTGAAAGTTAATTATTTATTCAGAATTCACGTTTCATGTTGAGTATTCGACTAGGAAAATTATGATAAAATTTAATAAAAAGGTCAATATGTTTGACACGAAAGGAATAAAAATCTACCCCATACATAATAATAAATCGTGCTAAACCTTTTCTGCCACTATTTGAATTTTATTTTATTTTCCTGTAAATGTTGTTACGGAGTGACTTGCTAATATTAACGTCCCGAAAGTCAAACTGTTCTCTTTTAATCATCTGACAGAACCCTTTTTACCTTTCATCAGCATGGCTGATGCTAACCTCTAGGATAGTGACTCATTGTATCTTCTCAGATGACATGAAGTGGAAAGAGTAAATTGAGTCAATTGTTTAGTCTGCAACTAAGAGAGTTGGTTCCCAAAGTCGTGCACGAGAATTTTCTCGTCAGAATCTATTTTACATATTTATAAGTCTACCATTCGTCATATACTTTGAATATTACTGCCACTTTTGGTTTGCTGCTCCTGCGATATATTTATAGATACTTAATAAACTCCAAAGAAGAATCTGCAAGATTGTTTGTCTTAGCTTGGCATCTCGGCTTCAATCCCTTTCCCATCGCCGTAACGTAGCTTCCCTCTGCCTTTTCTACAAATACATTCATCGTAACTGAGCTTTCCGCTATGGTAACTGGAATTTATGAATTTAAGCGTAATTCTTGTTTGGCGGAAAAGTCTCATCATTTTGCAGTTATAATAGCAAGATGTAACCGTAACAGTTCCTTCTATCGTAGTTCTCGCTTGTGGAACTCTCTTCCGAATTTTTGCTTCTCCGCCAATTTTAATCTTCAAAAATTTAAACATAATTCTTGTCCTTTTATTGCCCTCTCTCCTTAATAGTAATTTTTCTCATTTTTTCTCACACTCAGTAACCCCTTTATTGCCTTGCTTGGGGTAAATTGATTTAAAAAAAGAAAAGGAAAGTGAAAAATATACTACAGTATACAGACTAATGCCTTGACACCATATAACCCTTAGCATGGAAAGTGGAAACAAATTAAACAAAGTTTTATATTCGAAAAACTACCAAATGCAGTTACAGAAGGACGGAGAGTAGAACGATCAAAATACTATGTATACAGAAATCAAAATGAGGGTATTGCTTTAGGTTTAACAGTGTCTCGTGATAATAATGCTTCATCTCAGAAATTCTGATAAAACAATCGAAAGCCGATTACGAATCTGAGCATCGAATGTCCAAAAGGCCATTTCGACGGTTCTATTTACTTAGTATTTTCAAGATGGACCCATTTTCACTTAGTTCATGCGAAAACACTCAGGTCTCCTATTGATGTATCATGAATCACTGGCTGCCTATCGATCAGGCTAATCGAATTAGCACTGATTGTAGGACACCACTTAACCCTTGATGCAATGGCGGAGAACAGAAACGAAATTAACGCATCTGGGACACGTTAATCTTTCCACTTAAAGGTCTTCATTACGATCATAAACTAATTAAGCCAAACAAATCGGGAGAACACAAATGAAAACCTGAAAAAAAACAAATTAGACAGTGAAGAGGAAGTGTAACGCATGCGCAGAAGCATACACAGCGCACAGAATGCAGAGGATGTGCAGCGCAATAAGAACAAAGCGATAAAATTACACCGATATTTGTCATTAATAATATTTTGGATGTTTTCTCTTTTTTACTTATGGATGTCAAAACAATAAAGGGCCTGAACAATCCTATGCATAACAAAAATATTGAATAAGTTAACAGATCTCGCATGCATGTGAGTTATATACAGGCATAAAATAAAGATAAGAATATGAATTAATAATCCGACTCTTTTTTATCAAATTATTAATAAATTTATTAATCATTGATAATTGAGTGAATGACAACGTTTATTTATTTATTATTTTGTAGCAATATTGACAAATTAAGGGCGAGTAGGGTGATTGTAATCTTGTCATGAGCCCAAAATGCAAATTACAAAGCGGAAATACCAACATCAAAAATTGTAAAATATATCGTCATTATTTTAAAAAGAGGACGGAACACTGAAATCCGAAGGCGAACTGAAAAAGCCAAGGATGCATCCCAACTATTAAGTAGAGTATTATGAAACAGAAAGAGTTTGTTAGAAACCAAGAAAAGAGGACTGAACTCTTATGTGATATCTGTCCGTCTACATAGCAGAGAATGCTCGACAATCTCCTCAAAGATTAAGAAGAGACTTGAAGCAACAGAAATATGGTTCTACAGAATGATGCTTAGGATACCATGACCCGAATATGTGAGCAACGACGAAGTTTTAGAGAAAATGAAAACAAAAATGAGACTTATACTTAACGTCAAAAAGAGAGAGTTGAAATTTCTAGGGCACATTATGAGGAAAGAGGGCATGAAAATCTGATACTCAAGGATGCATTCCAAAATCCAAGAAGAATATTTTGAAACAGAAAAACCTCCTTAGAAAAAAGAAAAGTGTACTAAATTGTTACATGATATATGTCCTTCTATACAGCAAAGAATCCTGGACATTTTCCTCAAAGATGAAGAGGTGACTTGAAGCAAAAGGTAAGTGGTTCTACAGATGGATGCTAAGGATACTGTGTACCGAACATGTGAGCAACTACGAAGTTTAAAGTAAGTGGAAACTTAAAATCAGGAAGAGATTTTTTTTAATTTCTAGGGCAAATAATGAGGGAAGAGGGCTTGGAAAATCTGATACGCACAGAACAGTTTGATAGCAAGAGGGACAGGGATAAATAACGCATAACATATTTAGTGAGCTTCAGTGAATGGATGGTGGAACGAAAATAAGGAGAAATGACAAGAAGACAAAATATATTAAGAGCAACGCAAGACAAGAAATCGTGGAGAGTCATGATGGCCTAAGTTTTGAGGGAACACGTTACATAAAGCAGAAGTGTGACTGTTGTCGGATAGCAATTGCATTTGGATAGACAAGGTCAAGTATCTCTCTAATCTCCTACTTTCGTACCAATGCGATATGGATCCGTTATTCCCCTCAAAGATCGGGTTAAAATAGCAGAGGCTAAAATAGCAGGCTATACAAAGGGGTCAACTAATCTAGTAGAAGAATTGACAACGGTTAAGAACCTAGTGAGAAACCCGTTCATAATCATTTGCAAATGATGGCAGTTTAGTTAATACAGAAGAGGACGACCAGATTGTTTCTGCTTTGAAGGAACATGGCATTAAACACATAGACACGTGGAAATTCCACGGTGATGACAAATATACCATCATTACTCTAGTATATATATTTCATTAGTCAGTGATGGAATAATGCTATTATATGTAAGAAAAGAAACAGACTGTATGACCCGACCTGAATGTATTTTTAACTGGGCCCACTTGCAACGCTATGAGCGACTTTAATGCAAACCTTTCTGAATCCCGTGCATATTAGGCTATAATGCATGTGCCGAGTATAGCCTCTTATCAGACTGGCTGTAATGATGAAGAAATTGGATTTTGCATATTTAAAACCCAGCGTCATTGTGTTGGCATGTCGCTCTTTCGCTCAGTAATGATAATAACAAAGGAAAGAAAATGCTCCAAACTATTAAATGGAGAAAGGCAACAAATCATGAAAACGAATGTTACATATAAAAAATAACTTCCGGAAGAGGACATGGAGTACCAAAGACAAAAAAGGAAAAAAATACCTTAAGCAAAGCACCAGAATAGTTACCAGAAGAGAATGAATCAATTGTACAGAGGAGAAAGCCTGAAGTTAAATGCAAAACTTTGAAAAATACCCCCCACCCGAAAGATAACCATCAGGGTCTGATAGGATTCGCGGATATTAGTAATTTTACACGATTGACTGGCTGGAGAAAGGAGAAAGATAAAGTTCTAGAAAGCAAGCAATAATAGACCAATTATGTGCCTACAATTTATGTGTAAGATTTGTATTGAACAAATAATGGAGAAAATATAGAAATCGGTGAAAGCAGAAGGCAAAAAAAAAGTATATGAGATTCACCTATTGTTCAGTTCACACTCCTCTACGGTCTTTTGAACAGGGATAGAGATATCCCTTGTTTTTTGTTCAGGATTGGTTTTTTTGCCGGTTCCTTCTAAATTCTTTCTCAACTCTATACTTCTAACGTCTGCGTTTAAATTCTGAAATTTTATTTACTATTTATTTAATTATTTTAATTTATTTATTTTTCCTCAATTTAAACAGAAGTTGAGCTTTATTCATGGTTTCTTGCTTAGGATTGGGTTTCTGGTTCCTTCTAAAGCTTTTTTCTTCTCTTTGACTCCCAGTAGCTCCTTAGTGCTACGATCGCCTTGTTTGGGGTGAATTGATTAAAAGAAAAAGCATCAATTCCTAGTTCTATTCGATTCTCGTTTTAAATACTTTTCTATCCTAAATTTTGCTTCGTTTCTCTTGCTCTTCTTAATTAGTTTTCATTTTTCATTTAGTTCATTCCTAATCTTGTTTGTTGCTTTCCCTCCGTCAAGTTCTATTTTCTATTCTTTTTCTTTTCCTTACAATTCCAGTTGAATCTTTTCTATATTTAATTCTTTTCTATTTTTGCTTTATTGTTTCTTATTCTGGAAGCATATCTATTTTTGTTTTTCGTTCACTTCTATTCCTGTTTTTATACCTTGCTTATTCTGTTGTTCTATTCTTTATATTCTTACTTCAATTCCATTCTTAAGTTCTTGTTCTATTTTATTCTTATTCTCAGTTGTATTATCGTTGTTAGAATCTTTTTATGGTCAATTCGTTCTATTCCTGTCGTTAGTTCTTTAGTGTTCTTTTTTATATCATTTTCTATTTTTTTAAATTCTAATTCTTGTTCACTTTCATTATTGTTTTTGTTCTATTGTTCTTCTCGTCTTTTTAATTCCTGGTTTCTTTTCTTCTTGTACGTGATATTGTTTGATTCTTATTCTTGTTTGTTTTTGATACTACTTCATATTTATTTATATTCTTTCATTCTTGTCCATTTTTATTCCTGTTTTTCCCTCTTCTTCTTCTTCTTCTTCTTCTTCTTCTTTTTTGTCTTTGTTCTTCTTTTATATTCTTTTGATTTCTTGTTCTCTTTCATTCTTATTCTTTTCCGATCATTTCCTTGTTATTTTTCATTCTTCTTCCAAGTCTTTTTTCTTCCTTTTTCTTTTATGTTCTTATTTGATGCAGATTTATTTTTCTTTCCAATCTTCTTTCATTTAGTATTATCTTTCTTATTCTTGCTTTTTTTATTCGTTCTTATTCTTGCTTTTTATTATTTTTATTTTTGTTTTTTTTCTTGTTTCTTTATTCTTATTCGTGTTTTTGTTGGTATTTTTTATTCTTTCTAATTCTTATTCTTGAATTTTTTATTATTACTTATTCTTGTTCATTTTATTCTTTCATTCTTTTACTTTTTTCAGTTATTTTTCTTCTTCTTAATTTTGATTGTTATTATTCGGCTTTTCTGCCTTTTTTGGTTTATTACGCTCCCGTTCTTTTTATGTTCTTTTTATGTTTGTTTTTCTTCTTGTTATACAATTATTTCACATATTTTTTGTTTTTTTATTATTCTTGTTCTTATTCTAAGCGTTTTAGTTTTGTTCGTTTTTTCTAGTTTTTTTTTATTCATTTCCTTTTTCTTATTTTGATGCTGCTATTTTTTTTATTCCTCTGAACTTTTGTTCTTTTTTGATTTCGATTTAATACTTATCCCTATTTTTTGATTTTTGTTTCTGTTCAGTTTATTTTTCTATTTTTTTCTAGTTTTATTCTATTCTTTTGTATTGTTTTTTTTATTCTTTCTATCTTTATTCTTCTTTCTTTCTTTTCTTTTCTATTTTATTTCTTTCTTTTCTTGTTTTTCCTATTGAAGTTTCTGTTAATTTTCTACATTTGATCTTTTTTGTTCTCGCTTTTTTCTGTTTCTGTTGGTGGTTTTTTTTATACGCTTTTTTGTTCTTTTAGTTTTCTTCTTTTCTTCCTTCCTTACTATTCTTATTTTGTTGTGTTTTTCTTGTCCGTCTGCTTTTAAAAAATATATTCTTTTTTTTTTTGTTAATTTTTTATGTCTTGGTCTATTTTCCTTTTCTATTTGTTTGTTAATTTTTCTCTTGTTGTTCTTGTCTTATTTTTTCTTTCTTTTCTATTTTTCTTCTGTCTTTTTTTTCTTTCTGTCTTTTTTGTCATTCTTTTTTTCTCTTCTCTTATTATTTATTCAGTTAATTTTTTCTTTCTTTTTCTTTTCTTTTTCAATTCTTCTTCGTATTTCGGTGTCGCATTCTCCATCTTTTCTTATAAAATTTTCCTTTTTCCCTTTGTTTTTTTTTATTTTATTTCGATTTCCTTAAAACTTCTACGTTGTTCATATGTTCCGTTCTTAGGATTCTCATTATATATCTGCTTCCTCCAATCTCCTCTTCATTTGTGAGAAATTTTACAATATTCTTTACCGTATAGAAGGATTTATATTACCCAGCATTCCAAGACTCTTATCTTTGATTCTAAAGAAATTTTCCTGTTTCAGAAGACGTTGTTTAAATTATCGAAAGGCAACTTTCATTGTTCTAAATATTCGTATATTAAATAATCTTAACTTATGGTTGTCATAGCCGGACTGATAGTGGTGACAATCCCTCACTCTCTGTAAAATGCTTCGGTGGCATGCATCTCATATAGCTTCTGGAAACAAAGTCCAGTGCGAAGCGGGAGAAAGGACGAAGGACGAAGGACGAAAGCGGACAACTAGCGCTCGATAAATAGTTACTTCTGGTAGATGGTATGCGTTAGCCCAAGAATGCAGTCCATCTAGGGGAATTAAAACACTGATTTCAAACCTTCACTATCTTGCGGCCATATTAAAAACGGAAATGGCTATGGAAGTAAATCCAGACAGAAAACCTGGAGTGGAGCCCCGAAGGTGTTGTTAACACTGGTAACTTTACAACAACTCCTGCAGCCAAGGCTGCCCCAAATGTAATAACCTGTATTCTTTTGAAGCTTGTCTGTACGGTCGAGACGGGGGTCATGCAGTCTTGGTTGCGCACGGCCTTCATAAGACTGTTTCATCCTGAGGTCACTGTAGTCTCATTACCAAAAACTGAATTTTGACCAAACAGGGCGCTACCTTTATTATGAGACGCAAAAGCTGCTTCGAGTAGATGGAGCAAGATAACCCAGGAAGGTATTCCTTCTTGGAGAAGTAAAACCCTAATTTAATCCTTCGCTACCTTACGGTTCAAACACGGAAAAGACTAGGGAAGTAAATTCAGGCAGAAAATTCGGAGTGGAGCCCCGAAGGCAGTTGACAACACTGACAACCTTCTGGCAAATGCTCCTGTATTCCTTTGGATCTTGTTGGTACGGACGAGACGAGTGTGGGGGCGGCTTGTTGTCTAGGTAGCGCACGGCCCAGGACTGTTTCCAGGCAAAATCACACCAATCTCACGACCAAAGGACTAAATTTTGACCAAACTGGGGACTACATTTACCTCGTGAGATAAACGGGTGCTTACTAATCCTAACAAATATTACGGAAATTGTGAGACTAATTTGAAAGAATTATTTTATAACGAATTATATATGATGGAATTCTGAAAAGTTTTCGCTCTGACCAAGAAAGGATTAAATAAAATTCTAATGTTTGGTATTTTGGTCACATTTTAAGAATCCTTATTTTCTTCCCTCGTATTAGTCTTGAAAAACTTTTACCGAGATAAAGTGTTCCTCCTTGACAGGCTTTCAAATCTGGCCTTGTGTTGATCGTTGACGAATTTAAATATTGCTCGCGCGATTTGAAACAAAGTTATCAAAGCTATTTTCCTGTATCGCTACGAATTAAACTAACCCTGCGTTTTCCGTCTTCTGCATTGCACCTAAATGTATTAACAAATCAATTTAGAAAGCAATCAGGAGCTAAAGTCCAAAGTAGTGGAAATAAGCTTTAGTCATGACCTGATAGTCGCCGTACTGAACACGCAGGAGAAACAAATCAAAAAATGTAAAAGAAAATCACAAAAAAAGGAATAAAGAGATGTTAGAAGGCGTTGGGAAGAACGGAGACACTTACTTTGGATCAATAGCTACCCCCCTACCCTGCAACTCCCCAAGCAGTCTGATCGATTTTCATCTAATTAGTGCTGATGTAATTAACAAACTGATTCTCGCTTGCATCGGAATCAAATTAAATTAGAGAACGCTTAATTGTAAAGTTACGCGATTTTGAAGCCGACCCTTTTCTCTGCCAAGATGGATAGCCCAATTTGCAGCAAGAAGCGAGCATGCGCAGACGACGCAAATCTCTAAGTCTTATGCGATTCAGTCCCTTTGATCATGTATCCATTTCTAACATGTATCTATTAAGCAACTTGTCTTTGAGGCTTGGTTGATTTTGTTTAACAGCATATCAACCTCTATTTAATGCCGAAATCTGAATATTATGAACACAATTTTATGGCTTCGACTACAGATAAAATATATTGTTGGTCATTTTGCTATAAAATACACCGTGGGTAATTTTTTTTTTTTTTTATATAAAAACTGTTTTTTTATTCTTTCGTAATGTTTTGTTCGACATTTGTGAGAAAGAATTTATAAAAGGAGAAAAACTAAAATAGAGACGGCGATACATGTGTTTTATATTGTAGTTTTGTTGAAGTTATATTTTGGAATACAGTTTGATTTCTTTAAGAAATTGTAGGATATTATATGGATTAATGTCATGTTGGTTGTTTGGTGGTATATAAAACACCTCTATGGGTTATTTAATGCCGAAATCTAAATACTTTGAATACAATTTTATGATTTCAATTAAATATATCTTGAACGCAATTGTATGCCTACAACTACAGATAAAATGTACTGTTAGTAATTCTACTAAAAAAAAATGAATCGCTTGTCATTTTGCATTAAATATTGTAGCGTTGATAATTTTATTATAAATATGTATTTTTGGTAATTCTTTTGTTTATATTTCTGAGATGAGGTATTGTAACTATTTATATTGTTCGGACTGCTGTCCTCATCTTTATTGTCATATTCAGGACCTTTCAGCCGTTGTAAGCTCCTGTCATGCTTCAGATTACATTTTGAACTTCAGATGATATTTCGTTGGAATTTCGAACCCTTTATTTCGTGCACCGAGTTAGATTGTTCTAGTTCCACGTGCCAGGCCTTTACTCAGTTTCAGTTATCTCCCTTTAGTAACTCCACTTTCGATATTTTTGTTCACCTCTGCTGTGGCCAGGTATTGAACTCACAATTCTCTGGGTCAAGTCATTGGATTACTTCAACCAACGCTTTTATCCACTGAACCATGTGAAGAAAGCCGGAACATGTAACGACCGGAACGTAGTGAATTTGAAAATAAAACTGAGGACAAGTTCAGAACAATGTAAATAGTGTAAATGGTAATTTGTATCTAAAAATGTATTTATATACATTAAATAGTGTTTTGTTTTTAGTTGGGGAGTTAACTATATACCCATAGTTGGGTCCCTAACAGGTGCTACCACCCCGGACCAGGGTGGGCCTGGGAATAACAGCAATATAAGAGGTAGTACCACTTCTTCTGAAGACCTCCAATCTCCCGATCGGCGTGCATAATCTCCATAAACCACCGTCCAGAACTGTTCCCTGGCGACGTCACACTATCAAAAGGCTGAATTTTGACCAAACAGGGCGCTACATTTTTACTCGCGTGATAAACGGGTGCCTGCTAATCTTATTACACAAATTATGAGACGAGTTTGAAATATTTATTTAATAGCAAATTATATATGAAAGCAAACAGAAAAGTTCTCGCTTCGACAAAGAAAGGATTAAACAAAACCCGAATGTTTTAAATTTCGTAGTAGCATTTACACTAGTCCAATAGTCAATGTAACTTGTAAATTTGAATAATGATTTAGCCTCGTGAGCTACATACGTATCGATGAGTTGATTTTGTGACATTCGATATGCATATTTTCTATTTCCATGTCAGGTATTTATCGACACCCTATTGGCCTCTCATTTTCCTTTTTAGCAATAGGAATTCATCGATCTGTTGGATATGTCCAGTAACCGTCGGAGTTGATATCGATCACTTTGGGGACTGCTGTCTTAAAAGTGATCGATTGCAATTTAATATGGTAGATCGTTGGCTCGTATCCTAAGTCAACCATAATCGATGCTCTAAAACGAAGACACGTTTTGCAAATCTCAGTTTAAAGCATTGATTATGGTTGACTCCTGCGCAAGCGTACGATCCTCGATGGTGACCCATTTTGGGGATTTTGCGCCAGATGCACTTAAACTTAAAACAGCAGGGGATAAGCACACACACATAATTTAGAAATTCGAATTAATATCATTGTTAATTTGGTATTGCTTCTCTTAATTAAACTTAAAAAATTCAGCTTCGGCTTCAGTTAGATATTTTATTTATTTATTTATTTAATTCGGAGTGTTTTTGTTCTTTCTCGACTAAACAGTTTTCTCAATCCGGACTCAGAGTCAATCACAGTGTGACTATCTATTTACATATATGAAAATACATATCTATCTATCTATCTATCTATCTATCTATCTATCTATCTATATATATATATATATATATATATATATATATATATATCTTTGATTCTGCTTTATCTATCTATCTATCTATCTATCTATCTATCTATCTATCTATCTCATTCTGCTCATATCTATCTATCTATCCCATTCTCTTTCCATATCTATCTCATTCTGCTCACATCTATCTATCTATCTATCCATCCATCTATCTATCTATCTATCTATCTATCTCATTCTGCTCATATCTATCTATCTATCTCATTCTGCTCATATCTATCTCATTCTGTTCATATCTATCTATCTATCTATCTATCTATCTATCTATCTATCTATCTATCTATCTATTTCATTCTGCTCATATCTATCTATCTATCTATTTCATTCTGCTCATATCTATCTATCTATCTATCTATCTATCTATCTATCTATCTTCATTCTGCTCATATCTATCTATCTATCTATTTCATTCTGCTCATATCTATCTATCTATCTATCTATCTATCTATCTATCTATCTATCTATCTATCTATCTATCTATCTCATTCAGCTCATATCTATCTATCTATCTCATTCAGCTCATATCTATCTCATTCAGCTCATATCTATCTATCTATCTATCTATCTATCTATCTATCTATCTCATTCAGCTCATATCTATCTATCTATCTCATTCAGCTCATATCTATCTATCTATCTATCTATCTATCTATCTCTTTGATTCTGTTTATCTATCTATCTATCTATCTATCTATCTATCTATCTATCTATCTATCTATGCTAGTCTGCTCATATC